GCGCGCCGGGCGGGCGAGGCCGCGGCCAGCGGCGAGCTGGCCGGGCGGCCCCGGGCGGCGGAGGCGGGCTGGGCCGCCGCGAGGGTCGACCTGCTGTCCCGCATCAGCCAGACCCCCGCGCGCTGTGAGAATTTCGGGCGAAGAGAGCTATGCTCGGGCCGGGCGAAAGGGGGGGATTGGGAAAGGGGGGGTTACGAAATTTGCTACATGCAGCTGGTTTCGGCCTCACCGAGGGGCCCATTCCTCGATACATGGGCGCCTCCCGGCGCCGGGAGGCGCCGGGAAAATCAGCTACGTGAGCTGATTCTCAAACCCCCCCTTTGCTATCCCCCCCTTTCGCCCGACCCGATATGCACCTGCACCGATCCTGGCGAGGCCCATCTCTGACCCAGGATCGGTGCATGTGCCTTCCTGGCCAAGGTTAGGAGGGCGTGTGCACCGATCCTGGGCTCAGGATGGGTCCGGCGCCAGGATCGGTGCATGTGCATAGTTTTCTGTTCTTCTATGGGAGAACCACGACGGGAGGTTTCTCCATCTTTTCGGCCTTTCTACCATGCAGGGCCTCGGGACCGTCCAGAAACGACTCAGGACGAAAAGCCGGTCCCTGGGAGTGGGTCGAGACCTCGGGGGGTCGACGTGAAACAAAAATCATGGCGTCGGGGGTCTGGGTCTCGAAGAAGTGACAACTGCATAAACATAAACGTTCGGGGCTCCGCCAGGATCTCTCGGATCTGCGCTGAGGCCCCCCTTGGTGGCGCCTCCGGCGCCGCCCCTGGCGCCGCCCGTGCGTCAGGGAGAGGGGGCGCAGCGCCGATCCAAGACATCCGCGCGAGCCTGGAGCAGTTCATGTCTGTCCATGCGCTCCTTCTTCTGGCATTTCCGCCGTGGAGGGCGGCCTCGGCGGGCTCGACCGCAGGGTGGAGGCGATCCTCGCCCGCCTGTCGGCCGGGGAGGTGATAGCGAAGGCTCTGCAGGCCAAGCTCGGGGGCCTCCAGGAATCCAGGCCTCCCAGGTGGGCTCGGAGTAGTAGACGGGGTCGGAGGATCGCGCCGCATCGCCGATGCATCGGCGATGCCGCTCGATGTGGAGCCCGCTTTTCTCCACGCTGACGTCGCCGATGCATCGCCGACGTCGACGGTTCCACCCTGGTGCATCGCCAATGCATCGCCAATGCATCGGCGATGCATCGGCGATGCGGCGCGATCCTCCGACCCCACCTACTCCGACCCCATCTAGGAGGCCAAGGTTAGAAAGCCTTTGTTCGCTAGTGACTGGCTTCCCTCCCAAGGACGAAAAGCTCTCCAAAACCCCCCCGAAGCCCTCCGAAACAGAACCCTTCGCCAGGAGGGTCTTCTGAGGGTTTCGGTCGGATTTGGATTGTTTTGGTATGGAAGCCAGTCCCTACTCTGGGTTTCTTAATAAGCGTCGGGAGGTACCCCCCCGACGGGGGTCAACCTCGCCTCGTCGTCGCGCCGCGACGGGGGTTGGAGCGCCTTCGGCGCGCGGTGGCTGCCCGCGACGGGGGTCGATGTGGGGCCGTCGGCGGGGGTGCCGCCCCCCCGACGCTTGGTAAGAAGCTCGGCGTGGCGAACCCTGGACTCCCCTCACTCTGAGGAGGAGCTGCTGCTGCTGCGGCCCCTGGAGGCTCGGGGGGGGATTGGGAAAGAGGGGGGGGTACGAAATTTGCTGCATGCAGCTAGTGTCGGCCCCACCGAGGGGCCCATTCCTCGATGCATGGGCGCCGGGAGGCGCCGGGAAAATCAGCCACGTGAGCTGATTCTCCAACCCCCCCTGTGCTGTCCCCCCCTTTCGCCCGACCCGAGAGGCGGCCGTGGGCGGCCTCCGCGAGGAGCTCCGGCGCCTCGTCCCGCCGCGCGCCGAGGAGGCCGGCCTGCCGGCGGGGGCGGCCGCGCCGGCGCGGCTGGAGGCGCGCGCCGCCCGGAGCACCGGATTCCAGCAGTGGCGAAGCGTAGGGGCGTGCCCAAAAGAGGAGGAGGAGGAGGAGGAGGAGGAGGAGGAGGAGGAAGAGGAGGAGGAGGAGGAGGAGGAAGAGGGAGGAGGAGGAGGAGGAAGAGGAAGAGGAGAGGAGGAGGAGAGGAGGAGGAGGAGGAGGAAGAGGAGGAGGAGGAGGAGAGAGGAGGAGGGAGGAGGAGGAGGGAAGAGGAAGAGGAGGAGGATGAGGAGGAGGAGGAGGAGGAGGAGGAGAGAGGAAGAGGAGGAGGAGGAAGAGGAGGAGGAGGAGGAGGAGGAGGAGGAAGAGGAGGAGGAAGAGGAGGAAGAGGAGAAGGAGGAGGAGGAGGAGGAGGAGGAGGAAGAGGAGGAGGAGGAAGAGGAGGAGGAGGAAGAGGAGGAGGAGGAGGAGGGGCCTACCGATCAGTGTTCTGAGAACCTTGTCTTTTGGTTTCCACGACATGCTCTTGGAACATGTCTGGCCTGGACCGTCTTTTTTCTGACAAGTTGGGTTGCTGCTCCAAGAACACTGTTTTTGTTCTTAGAACAACTTTGGGTTCTGAGAAAATTTTGTGGTGGGCCTAGAGGAATGCCGGGACGGTCGGTCCCTGCTCAATGGATACAGTCAACCCGCGTAGCATCATCGAGAATAGCCCAGACACGATCGCGTCCTAACAAGATCTTCGGCCATGTTCGGCCACTCTCGTAGAAACAAGATCTTGGCCATTTCCGGCCTCGGGGGCCCTCGCCGGGCCTCGGGACCGCCAAACCACGACTCAGGATAAAAGCCCAGTCCCCGGGGAAAGGGTCGGGACTGCCATGCAGGGACCCTGCACTGAAACAATCAGGCCGTTGCATGTTTGGGAGAAGAGCTCCGAACCCTGATTACATAGTGAAGACGTGGCCTCAGTGAGGTCCCCGTTCTTTCGGGATTAGGGGTTATAATCTTGGGCGGCTTGGTCTTATGCATCTGCAGACAGGAGCCCCTATCCCTAATGTGTTGTTTCGGCCCTCTTACCTTAGGTACCCTCCCAAAGGCTTAGGGGTTCTTTTTTGGCTCAGCATCGTTGGGATGAGCAACTTTTCAACCTTAGGTCGGGCATGTCCTCCTTCAGGCGGGTTCTTGAAGAAAACAGAACAGTCAAAACATGTTCTAACATAGTCAAACATAGACGAAACATTGCCCCCAGACAATTGTTCCACTTTTTTGAACAATCCTCCTGTAGAGGGACATGCCCGATAGTCAGAATGAGCAGCTTTTCAAGGTTACTCTTGCATCCTTTCCTGTCGGCCCATCCTTCGCTGCTTTCGCTGGCCGCGCCCCGCTCGCAAGGTGTCGGCACGGCCTTCCAAGGCCCTTGTGCATCCTCATGTCGCGCGTTCTTCTTCCACGGGTTGGCTGTGTAGTGGGGACGCGCAGCAAGACGCAGGATACAGTACCTCGGGTTTCTTCGTTCCGCGCGTTGCGCGATGACTCCCCGCGGGCGTTCCCAAATTGTTGCGTGTTGCGTTCGGAGAACCCTGGGTCCCTCCCCCCCTGTTGCACCTCGCCTGCGGACCTCAGGGTTGGGCTTCATGCGAGGGCTTCCTGCGGCCGATTCCCAGCTCGGTCGCGACCGGTTTTGAAGCCAATCGGCCGCGAAAGACCGATCTCGTCGGTCGCGACCAGGAAGTTCTGGCATGCAACGCTCAGGTTCGGTAGCAAATCATGGGAGCCTTGCGTGTCCTCACCGATCCAGCAAGATGGCATGGGAAGCCCTCGTGAGTTGCCACCGCAGACTGGGTACCGAGACCGGCAACAGCTCTTGCCCTCTTCGAACAGGGCTCGCCGTCGGTGTCGCCGCGGACGTTGCCCCATTGGAGGTCGAAGGCCGCAAGCCAACAGCGGCTGCCGGTCGGTTTGGAGCAGCCCGTGCTGCTGTGCCTCGTGCCATATGTGTTTCCGCACTCGCTGTGGGCCCCGCCGCCGCCGGGCCCGCTGACGCAGCAGCCGCCACTCAGAGCGTCAATTGCCTCCCCCGCTTTCGCTTCCAGGCAAAACCAAGCCATACCACGCGCCTCCTCGTCAAGCGGCCTGACCAGTACAGGCCGCAATTTGGCATCGTTTGGTATCTCTTGGGAGCGAGGGTGGTCAAAAGCGAGGTCGGCTTGTTTTCCCCCGAGCCACGGGCTCGCCAGCGGGGCTGGCCGCGCCGCTCGCTCGGGGAGCGATCCGTTCCCCCGGAGCCGCTCGCGGCGTCCGCCCCGTGGTCGGCCGCGCCTCAGGAGAGGAAAAAACACACAGACACAATTAATCGTCGATTCCCAGGAAAATATGGGAAACTATGGGAAGTGGGGGGGAAGACAAAAACCTAGGAAATATGGGAAAATATTGGGAATATTTTTATTTGTGTGTATTTATTTGTGTGTCCTGGGGCCCCTTCAGCGCCCTCCCCCCGCGCCTCCTCTTGCATGGTGGCACAATTCGCTCTCACTCGGCGGCGAGCGAGGGGGGGAAGTGAGAAGGATAATGCCTTCCCAGGAGGTTCGGAAGTCCCAAGGCCTTCGGAGAAGTTTTCAAGCCTTCGCCGAAGACAGAACAAACCACCGCATCGCCAGCGCATCGGCGACGTCCGCGTGAGGAAAATCGGGCCCGCATCGAGCCGCATCGGCGATGCATCGGCGATGTGGCGCGATCCCCCGACCCCATCCACGCGGACCCCATCTAGAGGGGGCATCCTAGATGGGGTCCGAATAGATGGGATCGCGAAGAAATTCATAAGCATAACCTCTTCGGCGCTCCGCGCAGATCTCTTTCATGTGCTGGGCCCCCGGTTGGCAGCGCCTCCGGCGCCGCCCCTGGCGCACTCTGCGCGCCGGGGACGGGGTCCAGCGCAGATCCGAGAAATCCGCGCGGAGCGCCAAAAGTGTAGTTTGTTTTATATAAAAACCGATGAGTGCATGCATGAATTCTCTCCTAACTTGATCATCTATGCAAAAATCCTATATGTTTGTAAATCCTATATCTTCAGAGCTGCCCTGTATGTTTCTGTTTTCCCCCTTCTGGAGAGGCAGAGGCGGACGCGCTGCTGCGAAGCGCGCTGGAGCACATGGGCTCGGAGGCCTCCGCAGCGCAGGCCGCAGCGCGCGCGGCCGCGCACCGCGCCGCGGCCGCCGAGGGCGCCGCCTGGAGAGCCGAGGCGCGCGCCGCGGGGCCCTCCGAGGCGGAGAGCCCCGCTTCCGGGGCGGAGGCCTCGGGCCTCTCCGCCGGCGTGGTCATTCGGAGGAAGGATTTTGTTATATTTATGTGTGTATGTCAGTAAGTAAGTAATTGTTGACGCTTCGCGTATCCCCACCAGCCCATCCAGAAACGATGCTCAGGGGAGTTGAGGTGATCAGGGAAGTCGGGGAGCATGCAGAATAACAAAGGGCGGGGGAAGCTGTCACAGACCCCGAGAGGGGGAGGATGGAAGAGGAGTCGTCGTCGTCGTCGTCGTCGTCGGAGGAGGAGGAGGAGGAGGAGGGGGAAGAGGAGGAGGAGGAGGAGGAGGAGGAGGACGGAGAAGGAGGAAGAATCGGAGGAGGAGGAGGAGGAGGGGAAGGAGCTTCTTGGGGGTCTTTTGAGGGCCTCTTGGAGGGCTTTTTGGGCGCCTTGGGGCATCTTGGGCGCCTCTTGGGACCCTCTTGAGGCGCTCTGGGGAGCCTTCGGGGCGCTTTTGGGGCCATCTTGGAGGGAGTCGATCAAACAAGAGGGGGGGTTTAATTAGCGTCCCCCCTCGGAAGCCCCTAAAATCGCCTCTTGGACCCCTCTTGGAACGCTCTTGGAGTGCTCTTGGGCGCTCTTGGGGCCGTCTTGGGGCTCTTTTGGGGCTCTCTTGGGGCCCTCTTGGGCCATCTTGGAGCCATCTCCAGGCCTCGGATGGCCATCGGAAGCGAAAAGGCGAGAAAGCAAAAATCATTGATTTTCCTTAGGTTTTGGGACGATTTTGGCCTCTTCGGGGCCTCCTTGGGGAGCTGTTTGGCCACTTGGAGTTATCTTGGGGCCGTCTTTGGGCTTCTTGGAACCATCTTAGGAGCCATCGTGAGCGATCTTGCGCTATCTTGAGCCATCTTGGAGCTCATCTTGGGTTCTCTGAGGCGCTCTTGGAGCCGTCTTGGGCCATCTTGGACGCTCTAACTACCCGCGGCCCCCCCCGTCCAGGTCCAGGGGAGGGGGTAGGGGGAGGGGTAAACCCCCCCCCAAGGGGGAAGAGGGAGGGGTGGAAGAGGATCTGCTCTAGACCACCTACGCCCAGAGGGCTGGTGGGATTATGTATGTATGTATGTGTATCTGTGAATGTATGAATGTATGAGTATATGAATGTATGAATGTATGAATGTATGTATGTATGTATGTATGTATGTACGTATGTATGTGTGTATCAATGTACGAGTGTACGTATGTACGTATGTACGTATGTACGTATGTACGTATGTACGTATGTACGTATGTACGTATGTACGTATGTACGTATGTATGTATGTACGTATGTATGTATGTATGTATGTATGTATGTATGTTTGGTTGTATGTATATGTGTATGCATGTATGTATGTATGTACGTACGTATGTACGTATGTGTGTATGTATGCGTGTGTGTGTATGTACGTATGTATGTATGTATGTATGTATGTATGTATGTATGGATGTATGTATGGATGGATGGATGGATGGATGGATGGATGGATGGATGGATGGATGGATGTATTATGTATGTATGTATGTGTGTCCATATCACATATACACACATATGTGTGTGTGCTACAATAGAACTAGTACTCCGTGTTGTTGCAATTGTTTAATATTCGCATTATATGTATATGTATACATATAGTATATATAGTTGTGTTTGTTTTTTTTTCAAACAAAAGAAGCATCAACAAACATTTCTGGCGCTCCGCGCGGAATTCTTGGATCCGCGTTGGGCCCCCTCTGGCGGCGCCTCTGGCGCAGATCTGCGAACTCCACGCGGAGCGCCAAACATTTGTGCTTATGTAGTTGTATCGTCTTCTAGTAGACATCCGAGGAGGGAAAGATGCCAATGCCGTTCTGGGGTGGTCAGGAGGTGCGCCCACTGTGGATGACCCTTGTGGCCCGAGCGCGGCCCCCGAGGGCCGAAAGCGAGGTGAAAGCGCAACCCGACAGAGCTCACGTCGTCGGAGATCTGCCGGGGGGGGGCTAAAAAGGCGCTCCTGGCTTCATGTCGGGCATGTCCTCATACAGGCGGATCTTGGACGAAACATCACAAATAGGTATACAAACAGCCAAAATGGCAACATAGTCCCCAAATCGTCCCCAGATCATTTTCTCGTGTGAATATTTTTGGGTATTCTTCCTGTAGAGGGACAGGCCCGACTATGAACCCTGGCCCAAAGTACTCCCAGCTGCTGGTTCCATTTTAGAGCCCCGGAGGCCCTGTGGGCCAGGTGGAGGGGTGCCCTGAAGGGCACGTGGGCCGTCTTGGGAATCCCAGGTCGCCCTGGGGCAGGGGCACCTCCTCGCATTAAGCCGAGCCTGTCCCTCTACAGGAGGAATATTCAAAAGTGGTAAAACCTGATTTGGGGACGATTTTTCTATTCTGTATTTTGAATTGTTCTTCCAGAGTCCGCCTGTATGGGGACATGCCCGACCTAAGCCAAGCAACGCCCGAACCGTTGCCTGTCCTGGGCCTCTGTGGGGCTCCTCGTCGGCACGGCCGTATTCTCGTCGAGCTTCGGGTCAGAGCGCACCCCAGGAGAGGTCTGGGGAGTACAAGAGCCGAACCGGTGCCCTTTTCGTTTCCCCAGAAATGGCCATGGCGCCAACATCGCAGAGTGGATTTCGCTTGGAAAACAACGGGATGGGCTCTGGATTTCGAAGTGAATTTCGTGCGGAGTTGTTCTGGCCCGTAATGAAGACAACAGAAAGTAGACGTGAAATTCACACAGTTTTTCGCTTGCCGTTTCGGGTTCTGCATTCAAAGAAGTCCACGCGTACATCCGTTGCAGCACGGCACGTCTGCAAGGTCGGCGCAGTGAGCAGTGGTATACGGATATCGACATACCCTGTCCTCGCTTCCGCCCGTCTTGGCCCCCCTGGGGTGTTCTCGTGCCGCCGCCGGCGTCGCCTGGAAGTCCTCATACAGTCGGGGCCCTGAAGAAGGAACCCTTTTCGTTGGGGAGGGGCTCCGCGTTCCTTAAGTGTTCCTCATGTTTTCGGCAGGAAATCGAAGGTTAACTTATGTAAAAAAGGGGCCTCGTTCCTTCCTTAGGGTTCCTTAGGTCAACGCCCCGACTGTATCTGAGCTCACCCCTGGGAGAGGCCCAGGGCGCAGAGCGGCCTGGGCGCTCTTCTTGGTGCCCCCAGGTCACGGCGGCGGCCTCCGTGCTGCAGCGTGCCGAGGCCGAAGCGGACTCGCTGCACAGCTACCTCCTCGCCTCCCGCTGGCGCCGCGCGGGCGGGGGCCACCATGGCGAGGGCGCCGGGGACGGGGTCCAGCGCAGATCCGAGAAATCCGCGCGGAGCGCCAAAAGTGTAGTTTTTTTTTGTTGTTGTAAAAAAAAACGATGAGTGTATGCGTAAATTCACTCCTAAATTGATCATCTACGCAAAAATCCTATATGCTTGTAAATCCCATATCTTCAGAGCTGCCCTGTATGCTTCTGTTTTTCCCGAGGGCCCCCGGGCACGGCACGAGCACGGGGCCCTCGGGAGGCCCGCGGGCGGGCCTCCCGAGGGCCGGCGCTGGGCCCGCCGCGGGCGGCGGCCCCGCGACGCCGCCCCCTCGCGGGCGGGGCGGGGCGCGCCGCGGGGGGGCGCGCGGCGCCCGGCGCCGAGCCCAGAAGTCCGCGCGAGGCCTCGAAGGATTGCAAACAAGCCCTTCGTTGTTGCAATCCCTCGTTGTTTTGCAGTCCTTGTTTTGCAATCCTTCGAGTCGTCGGCTCGCGCGGAGGGTTGCAACAAAAAACCCTTCGGTGTTGCAATCCTTCGGTTTTTTGGCAATCCCTCGCGCCGCCCGGTGCTCTCGCCCTCCGCACCGGGCCGCGGGCACGACAGAGGGCTCGGGGAGCCCCGCGGCGCACGACGAGGCGGCCTCCCCGCGGGGCTCCTGGGCGCAGCCGACGCCGGCCCGCACGCCGACGGCAGACGAGTCGCCGTGCTCGCCGGCGGCCTCGGCGGAGCTGCGCGGCGCGCCGCCCCTCGGCCCGCCGCGCGGGGCGAGCCCGCAGGGCGCGGGCGCGAGCCCGCGGGGCCCTCCCGCGGAATAGTCGGCGCCGCCCCGGCATGCGCGGGCGGCCTCCGCCGTCGTGCTGTCAGAGGCCCGCGGCAGCGCGGCGAGGGGACCGCACACGCGCGGCGGCCGCGGCGGCCTCACGGGGGGCCCCTCGGCCGGCACGCGGCCTCCGCACGGGGCCCCGCGCCGGGGTGGCGCGCCCCTCGCCGAGCACGTTTTTCACTATTCGCGAAGTGCCCACTCGCAAACGTCAGAACGGAAGCACCTGTCTGCGTTGATGGTGGCAGACCGATCTGAGGCATCTAGATCCTTTCGATTGCTGTGCCGAACAGCTCTGTAGCTCATCCGCAGCTCGAGGTAAGTGCAGAAAACCGACAGCACCTGCCAAGATGACACTCAACAGCTTTTGATAGTGGTATCCACCCGAGCGACCTGAGATCAAGACGAGGTATGTATCACGGATCCCCCGTGGCGGATCCAGGCCATTTGCGAGCAGTTATTTGGCGAGTCGTGGAGTGCGCTTGTCTGGCCCCGCGCGTGGCGGCGGGCGCGGGCGCGCCGCGGCCGGCGCGGGCCGCGCGGGCCTGCTGTGGCGCCGCGGTGTGGCTGCGCGGACCTCCCGGCGGAGAGAAGCGCGTGGCCCGTGGCAGTGCGGAGGCACCCTCAAACGGTGTAGTTCAGCCACGCGCAGAGGGGGGACGCCTATCCGGAGCTGCCCCTCTCGTTTTGTGCTCAGCGTTTCGCATGGTAGCACGACGCGACTGCGGCAGGGAGAGCACAAGGTCGGGGCGGAAGCGGAGGCGGAGAGAGAGACGGAGGCGGAGGCGAGGAGGGAAAGGAAGGATGCAGTAGGGAGCGATGCAGGAGGTGGAGACGAAGGAGGGGTGGATCGGCCACGCGCAGAAGGGGGGTATGGGGAGGGGTGAAGCCCTCTTAGAAACACGCCGGCTTCTTAGAAGGCGTGAGCCTTAATCTTATATTATATATTATATTATATATAAATGTATGTATGTGTAAGGCCCGCACCTTCTAAGAAGCGGCCTCTTTCCAAGAAGCCTCCCCGCTTCCCCTTACCCCCCTCTACGCGCCACCAAGCGGTGACCACGCGGCATGCTGTCCGCAACAAAAACGTGTACACATACACCCTCCAGTGGATTTCGCTCTGGGGCCTCGGGGGAGGGTGGCGATGTATAAATCACCGCTGAGAGCCAGCGACTTTTTACACACCGCCGCCCTCCCTGAAGGCACATGCAAAGTTCGTCGGAGGGCGTCTGTGTATACATGTCCGTGGCGTACGGTGTGTCAGTGAGGGTTCGGGATCACCGCAAGTGCTGGCACTCGGGTCGTTCTCCGAGAACGTTTCGGGCGACCGGGGCCTCTGAGGTCCCAAGACCGTGCGGTGACGGCGGATCGCGCGGTGAAATCTCTTGGGGTTTCGAGGTCACTGCGCGGTGCGTCACCACACGGCCTTGGGACCCCCGAGGTATTGCACTGTCGGCTCGGCGGCTGGCAGCGCGCGCCGCAGCAGCAGCAGCAGAAGCAGCAGCAGCAGCAGCAGCAGGAGGGCAGTGACGCAGCTGGGCAAGTCGGTGCCAGGAAAATGTCAACTACCTACGTTATGTTTGTCCACCTCTCAGTTTCAAATGGAGGCCCCAACACCGTGTCCACAGACATGTGTATACATATTTGTATATATGCTGATCGATTTGTTTCAACACATGTCGCCCAGAGAACCGGTTTGAAAAGAATGCACTATGTACCATGGCTTGTAGCATTTCTGCGAGGCCCCATTGAACAGGGCCAATATCTTGTAGTATATGTAGATATGATGCAGGGCTGCCCCCCGAAAGCATATAGCATCGAGCACCCCCCCCCGCTGGATGCGTACGCCCGTGAGCCTCGCAAAGGCCTCGCGAGTGAGATCGCTCCCCCCATGTGGTCGCGGCCCTGCGGGCGTGGCGTGGTGGAGGGTGCCGGTGCTCCTCCCCCCCGTTGGGTGTGGGGTGGTTCGTCGGTGTCGTCGTTTTTCGTCGTCGGCGTTGTCGTCATCGTCGTCTTCCGTCGGCGTGGGCGTCGGTGTCGTCGTCGTTTGCGTCGGCGTCGTCGTCGTCGTCGGCGTCGTCGGCGGCGGCGTCGGCATCGGCGTCTGCGTCTGCGTCGTCGTTGTCTTCGTCGTCGTCGTCGTCGTCTCCGTCGTCGTCGTAGTTGTCGTCGTCGTCGGTTTGGGCGCATTCTGGGTGGCCGGCGGGATCGGCCGAAGCCCCAGGGGGAGTTCTTTTGGAAAAGAACCAAATCCAAAAGTGGTAGGATCTAGCACGCCACGCACCCCTGTGGCATTTTCACAGGGGGCGGCGTATCGAAGACGCCTACGGCGAATCACCGTCGCCCCCTGCCTGTTGGAATCGCCCATGTGGCCGAGCGTTGTGGCAAGAGCTCTGCCATGCTATCGGACCATGTGTTCCCCCAGCCGTTGTGGAAACCTTTCGGGGAACACTTGGGGGAGGATGGCGGGGAAGATCAGGAGGTGGAGGAGGAGGAGGAGGAGGAGGAGGAGGAGGAGGCATCAGGGGAGTCTCTGGGGGCACTCTTGGGGCCTCCTGGGAGCTTCCTGGGAGCCTCTTGGAGGCATCTTGGGGGCCTGCTTGGGCCTCTTGGGTGCCTTTGGGGGCTTCTCGGGGGCCTCCTTGGTCGTTCCTGGCTCGTCTGACGCCGTCGGAAGCCGTCTTGAGGGTCTCCGAACCGAGACTTATGGCCATCTTCGGGCGCTTCAGGGCCGTCTTGGAGGCCATTGTGGGCGTCTTGGAGGCGTCTTGGGCCGTCTTGGGGGCCTTTGGGGGCCGTCTTGTGGGCATCGTGGGCCGTCATGGGGCCATCTTGGTGGTCTCTCGGGCGATCTTGGGGCGACCTTGGGGGCCTCTTAGGCCGTCTTGGGCCGTCTGAAGACCGAAAAGGCTCAAATGACAGAATCCAAGCCTAAGGGAAATCAATGATTTGGGCCTCTTCGAGCCTTCCTTGAGGCCCTCTTGGAGGCCTCTTGGGCCTCTCTTGGGCCGTCTTGGGACATCCGGAGGCAATTTAAGCCGTCTTGGGTGCATCTTGGGCCGTCTTGGAAACATCTTGGGACCATCTTAGCCGTCTTGGAGGCCATCTTGGCCGCCTTGGAGGCATCTTGGAGGCCATCTTGGGCCATTTTGACCGTCTTGGAGGCCATCTTGAGCCGTCTTGGACGACTTCTTGCGGACGTTGTGCGCGATTGCGGTCCCTTTCGGGTGGCCGGCGGGAAGGGCCGGAGCCCCAGGGTAGAGTTCCTCTTGGAAAAAACGCGAAAACCCAAACCGGTAAGAAGTCCAGCACGCCAGGTACCTTTGTGGCAAAGCAACAGGGGGCGGCGGATCGAAGACGCCTACGGCGAATCACCGCCGCCCCCTGCCTTTTTTGGAAGCGCCTATGTGGCCGAAGGTTGAGGCCAGATCTGCCAAGCTATCGGACCATGTGTTGTTCTCCGAATCGGTTTGGAAAGCCTTCGGGGAACACGTGGGCATCTTGAAGGTCCTCTTGGCCGTCTGGAGGCCATTTTGACTTTCGGGCCTTCTTGGAGGACGTCTTGGCGAGCTCTTGGGCCGTCTTCGAGGCCATCTTGAGCGTCTTGGAGGCCTCTTGGGCCGTCTTGGGGGCCTCTTGGGGCCGTCTTGGGCCTCTTGGGCGATATTTGGGGGCTCTTGGGCCGTCTCGGTCCGTCGGAAGGCCCAAAAAAAAACAAATGCCACAATCCTTCAAAAACTCATGGGAAATCCGTGATTTTGGCGTTTTCGAGCCTTCCTGGAGGCCCTCTTGGAGGCCTCTTTGGCCGTCTTGGGTCATCTCAGGGCCATCTTCGGCCCTCTTGGTGGGCTCCTGGCCCGTCTCACGCCGTCGGAAGCCGTTTGGGGGGCCTCTCTAGGCCGACTTGGGGCCCCCTTGGGGTGCTCCAGGGCCGTCTTGGAGGCCATCTTGGGAGTCTTAAAGGCCTCCTGGGCCGTCTTGGGGGCCTTTTGGGGCCGTCTTGGGGGCCTCTTGCGCCGTTCTGGGGCCATCTTGGAGGCCTTGTGGGCGATCTTTGTGTGATCTTTGGGGGCCTCTTGGGCCGTCTCGGTCCGTCGGAAGGCCGAAAAGAAGCAAATGTCAAAGTCCTTCAAACACCGGAGGAACATCATAGTTTTGGGCTTTTCTGGCTTTCCTGGAGGCCCTCTTGGAGGCCTCCTGGGCCGTCTTGGGCTAGCTTCGAGCCAACTTCGGCCATCTTGGTGGTTTCCTGGCACGTGTGACGCCGTCGGGAGCCGTCTTGGGGGCCTCTCTGAACCGACTTGGGGTTCTCTTGGGGCGCTTCGGGGCCGTCTTGGAGACCATCTTGGGCGTCTTGGAGGTCTCTTGGGCCGTCTTGGGGCCCTCTTGGGGCCGTCTTGAAGGCCTCTTGGGCCGTCATTTGGCCCTCGTGGAGGCCTCGTGGGCGATCTTGGGGCGATCTTGGCGGCCTCTTGGGCCGTCTTGAGCCGTCGGAAGGCCGAGACGAGGTAAAGTCCAAAATCTTTCAAAAACCTAAAGACAATCAATGAGTTTGGCCTCTTCGGGCCCTCCTGGAGCACCTTTTGGAGGCCTCTTGGGCCGTATGGAGGCCTCTTGGGCTGTCTTGGGCCATCTTGAGGCTATCTTACGCCATCGTGGGTACATCTTGAGCCGTCTTGGAGGCATCTTGGGGTCATCTTAGCCGTCTTGGAGGCATCTTGGCCGTCTTGGATGCATCTTGGAGGCCATCTTGGGCCGTCTTGGAGCCGTCTGGACCAGGATAATCCATTTGAAACCGGGTCGTGGCAAGTTTTCGGCATCCTTTCGGGTGGCCGGCGGGACGGGCAGAAGCCCCAGGGGGAGACCGCCACCCCCTGTCGATTCATCGCGGGGGTACCTGGCGTGCTGAATCCTCTCAGTTTTGGTTCCGTTTTTTTCCAAAAGAACTCCCTCTGGGGCTTCGGCCCGTCCCGCCGGCCACCTCATAAGCTCGGATGCAGCTCCTGGGGGGTCAAATTATGATGTTGCCCTGGTCCGAAATCCAGCTGGATCCCGCTCGATCTGGCTCAAGCCCGCTCCAACCCGCTTAATACGGCTCAATCCCGCTTAGGGAGAAGGATCATCGACATCATGATCATCAGCAGCAGCAACATCATCATCACCATCATCATCAGCGTCATCATCGCCATCATCATCATCATCACCACCAGCACAATCACCATCATCATCATCATCATCATCATCATCATCATCATCATCATCATCAAAGGCCGCTCTCCAGCTCAGGCCTTTCAATGCGCAGCGGTCTCCCAACCCCGCCCGCCCGTGCCATGAGCCAGGCGGGGGGCGGCGATCCGCAGCCGCGGTGCGCAGAGCGCTGCGGGCGCGCTCGCGGCGGGCCGCCGCCGCCGCATCGGAGTCTGATGGAACGCTGTGGCGCCCTCCCCCCCCGCGGGGCGATGAGGCGCTCGCGCGCACAGGCTCGACGATGGCGCAAACATCAATGCTTGATCAGCCTGGGCGCGCGCCTCGGGACGCCGCCAGGGCTCGATGCACGCGTCGATGGCGAGCCCCATGGAGACAAGGTGAGCGAACTGGAAGTCCCGCACGCTGTCGCCGACAAGTTCTACGCCCGGCAGAGCGCGGAGGCGGGATGGGCTGGGGGGAAGGGTGGTGAGCCCGGCTGTAGTGGTTCAGAGCGGCTCGACCGCTGTATTGGGCGCCACCTGTCCCCGCCCTCCCCCGCCCCCGATGGCCAGATGAACCTGTACGACACCAGGCGCGGCCCCTCTGCTGGCAAGCTCCTGGGCATGACCTTCGACGTCCGCACGATCGCCCTCCGCACGGTGGATTCTGATGATGAGCTCGCAACGACAACACTCTACGAAGAGATCTGTACCGAACTCAAGAGCCGCTCGGAGGACGGCATGATGGGCACCCAGGAGCGAGCAACCCTGGAACATAGAGACAGCACTGTGGACTCCACGATCGCAAAGTCTGACGCCAGCTCGGAGCCAGTGATTGCTAATCAGGTCAAGCCTGCCCCTGCTGCGCAGACTACTCCTCCTCCTCCCACCTCTTCTCTTGCCCCAATTGCTCCCGCTGAGACAACTGCCCGTGATGCACTGACTTCCGAGGTATCTGACGAGTGGGGCCATCCGCGCGTGCCCAAAGTTTTCGCCAACATTCTTATTGCTTCCATCCGAGAGCTGCAGGAGTGGGAAATTGAGTACGATGAGCACATTCCGCCTGCCACACTGGTCAGAGAAGCGCTAGAGGGGACAGAAGAATCATTGCACGGGGATCGTTTTCTTCGATCGCGGCACTACTCCGCTATCATGAAAGAGTATTGTGCCCAACTCACTCAGCTTGTCTCCGCTCAGGCGCGGCCCGCTGCTTGAGCACTATGCCCGCGCCCACGCACCAGCGAAGTTAAGGGAACAGCCCCTTGCGACGGGATTTCTTCGGATGGTGGTATAGCCAGCACGTCCATTTTTGTAAGTCTCCAGCCTTTCAATCAGGCCTGAGCTTTCATCCCTGATGTCGACGTATATATATAATATCATCATCATCATCATCGTCATCATCATCATCATCTTCTTCATCATCATCATCATTCTCACCACCACCATCATCATCATCATCATCACTAGCATCATCATCATCATCACCACCATCATCATCATAATCACTACAACAATCTCGAAGATCGTAATCATCATCCTCAAACATCGTCTTCATCACCAGTCATCATCATCACCACCATTATTATCAGGAGCACCATCACCACCACCTTCATCATCGTCATCAGCACCATCATCATCAACACCATTATCATTATCATCATATCCAGCATGTTCATCAGAATCACCATCAGCTTTATAATCAACATAACTTGTCATCATCATCATCACCATCATCACCATCATCATCATCAGCATCATCATCATCATCTTCACCATCGCCATCATCATCATCCACATCATCATCGCCATCATTATCACCATCATCATCCTCATCATCATCATCATTTTCATCGCCATCGCCATCGTCATCGTCAACATCGTCAGCATCGTCAACGTCGTCATCCTGCCCCTCTGCCCCCTCCTTCCATTCCCATCTCAGCCCACGTCACCTTCTCTCTGTCTCCCTATCCCCTTCCCCCCTTCCCAATCCCCTTCCCCCTTTCCAATCCCCTTCCCCCTCCCTATCCCCTTCGCCTACGGCGATGATTCGCCGTGATTCGCCGTAGGCGTCTGACAGATACCTTCCGAGACCGTCAGCGAATTCCCAGGAGACCCCCAAGACATCCCCCTGACGTACCCAAGAAGTCCCCAACGGGCCACAAGAAACCTGAAACATGTTTCTAAGAGGCCCCCGCGAGGCCTCTCAGGAGAACCCAACAAGCCTCCAAGCGTCTGCGGCCTTTCCGGGGCCTCCTTCTTGATCCCCCTTTCAGGGTGGAAGGGACCTGCAATTATTGATGTTCTTATGGCTTTTGCAAGATTTGGGGATATGCGGTTCTTCGATCTCGGTCCCAGGGACCCCCTGGACGCGAGAAAAAGAGAGAGAGAGAGAGAGAGAGAGACAGGGAGAGAAAAAGAGAGAGAGAGCGGGAGGGGAGAGAGAGAGAGAGAGAGAGAAAAAGAGAGAGAGAGAGAGAAAGAGAGAGAGAGAGAGGGCGAGAGAGAGAGAGGGCGAGAGAGAGATAGAAAGACAGAGAGAGAGAGAGAGAGAGAAAAAACAAGAGAGAGAGAGAGAGAGAGAGCAGGAACGGGAACGGGAACGGGAACGGGAGCGGACCCCTGGGGCGTTCACTTTTTTTACGGGGGACCCCCCCGACGGGGGTCAACCTCGCCTCGTCGCGCCGCGGCGAGGGTCGGAGCACCTTCGGCGCGCGGCGGCTGCCCGCGACCGGGGTCAGTGTGTGGCTGTCGGCGGGGGTGACGCCCACTCCCCGACGCTCATTAAGGAACTCGGTGTGAGACACGAGTAAACTGGAATTCGGATTTGCCCATACTGTTCGACGAGTGCGCCCCGGAGTTTGACGGTCCAGGTTTCTTGGAGCGTCTCCAGCGGGAGCCCGCGTCAAGTTTCAGGTTGGTCCTCGTCATGTATGATGGCCCCGTCAGGCCAACCCGAGTCCCCGTACCCGAGTCTTGCGTTTCCCCGATATCGGAAAGCCGCGACCGTTCAAGATCGGTGTCAGGAACCAACTCCTACGTCATCGCGATGTGACTGTACGGTCAGCACGTTGAAATAAGAGCCACTTGGGGCCCAGAAGGAGCTCTGCTGGTCGGGCCGTTCCTTCGATCAAGATCGGGGCGGCTAGTCGTGGCCGAGGCTCGCCGTGGCCAGAAACGCCCCTCCGTTCCTTCTCTGGCGCTCCCTCGGGCAGCACGTGACTGCATCCGCTTCCCCTCGCATCGTGTGCCCCGCGCGGCTGCTCCGTTGACTGGACACTCGGCCTGCCCTCAGGTCTGCACGTCTCTCGAGGACACCCAGAACAACCTGTTCGCGTACGTCGGTGCCCTCCTGGAGTTCCCCGCGTCGGGCTTGAATTCAGCCCCACGACGGCCAGTCCGTGCACTCTCATAGCTGGCATCCAGGCGTCCTGTCTTAGCTGCTTATTTCGGGAGCCTTCCTGGGGCCATCCTAACAGATCTGTTCGGTTCTTATTCGACTCGAACTCGAGGCAAGTTCGACCACAGTCGACGGACGTTTGGAAAACGGGGGATTGTGGAGTCCTTAAGGGTCGAGGGAGCGCGAGCGAGACTTTCAGCTTGAGATCGCGCGTGCGTCTGTGAATGCTCTGCGTGCTCTGTGGCGTCCTCTTCTGCCTCCTCCACTCCTCCCCCTCACCCTCCTCCTCTTCTTCTTCTCCTTCTCCTCCTCAATGGTTTTTTGGTGTTGCCTTCTTCCAAGAGAATAGGCAGAAGACAAACACAACAAACTCTGGGCGGTGGGGACATTGATGTTTGTTGGTTGTGTCTTGTTTTTGTTAGGGGGGAGGATGCGGGGGTGGGGGGCAAACATCCTTCTCCTTCCTCGCCTCCTCTTGCTCCTCCCCTCTAGCCCCCCCCGGCGGAGTCCTGCTAACCCCTTCTAAACTCTGCTAAGCCCTGGTGAGCACTGCCAGTCCCTGCTACGCACTGCTGAGCCCTGCCAGCCCCTGCTGAGCCCGGTTAACCCTGCTAAGACTTGGTAGGCCTTGGTAAGCACCCCTGCTAGGCCATGCTAAGCCTTCCTGAGCCCTGCTGCGCAATCACGCTGGGCCCTGGTAGCGCCCTGCTAGTCACGATCTTCCCCGCTAAGCTGTGCCAAGCTCTCCCAAGCCACGCTGAGCTCTACAACGCATTGCTAGGCCCTGCTATTCAATGCTAGCTTCTGCCAGGCACTGCTGAGAGGAGCCATGCCCTGCTACGACTTGCCATGTTCTCCGAGGGCACGGCAGGCCCTGCCAAGCTGTGAGAAGCCCTGCTAGGCCCTGGCAAGCAATGCCAGCTCCTGCCAGGCATTGTTAAGATACGCTAAGCCATGGTAAGCCTTGCTACGCAGTGCTAGGCTCTGCTCGGTCCTACTAAGCCCTGCTGTGCATTGCTACGTCCTGCTGAGCCCTGCTGGTGTCTTCTAAACTTCCTAGCCTTCGCTAAGCCCGGCTAGGAATTCCAAAGCCTTGCCGACTTTTGATGGGTCTTGACGAGCCGTGCTACACCATGCGTAGCCCTGTCAAGACATGTTGAGCCCTACTACGTAAGCCTTGTTGACGTGTGCTCTGCTGAGCACTGTTCGGGTATAGCAGGCCCTTCTCGGCTCTGCTGGGCCTTGCCAGGCCATGGTAGGCCATGCCAGGCATGCTAAGTTCTGGTTTGCCCTGCCGAGCCGTGCTAGGCCTTGGTAAGCCCTTCGGCTAAGTCAAATTGGGCCGCGGTAGGGCCCAGCTCACGGTGTGCCCCGCTACGGTTTGCCAGGTTCTTCCAAACCTCGCTAAGCGTTACACTTCCTTTCTAGGCGCGGATCTGCAATGCTAGATCTTCCCAGGCGTTGATAAGACGTGCCAGGCCTTGCTACGGCTTGCAACGCCCTTCTAAGGCAAGCAAGGCCCTGCAAAGTTGTGATAAGCCCTGCTAATCCCTGGTAATCAATGCTGGCTCATGCAAGGCGTTGCTCAGATGTGTTGCGCCTTGGTAAGCTTGCTTGGTAATGCTGGGCTCGGGTCAGTCCTGCTAAGCCCTGCTGCGCATTGGCACGTCTTGCTAAGCCCTGGTGGGGCCTGCTGAGCTTCCCACGCTATGCTAAGCCCTGCTAGGCCTTACAAAGCCCTGCCGACCCTTTCTAAGTCCTGACAAGCCTTGCGAGGACGTGCGTAACCCTGCTAAGCCAGGCTAAGCCCTGCGAACCTCTGCCAGGCCGGGGTGTACTCTGCGAGTCACTGATCGGTATACCCAGCCCTGCTCGGCTTTGGGGATCTTTGCCAGGCCATGCTAGGCCTTGCTAGGCGTGTTGAGCTTTGTCAAGTTATGCTAGCCCTGTTAAGCCCTGCTCTGGTATGCCCTGCTAGGCCGGGCGAAGCCCTGCAGCTCCTTGCAGAACTCTCTGGATTCTGCTAAGCCGCGAAATGTTAGGTTGAGTAGTGCTAAACACTGGTCGGCCAGGCTAGGCCCTGATGAGCCTTCCGAACCCTTTCTCAGCCTTGCTGCCCGCTGATATGCCCTGCTCAGCTGCGGTAGACCTGAGCTCTGGCAGGCGGCGCTGAGCCCTGCTGAGGTCTGCTGAGGTCTGCGAAGACCTGTCATGACATGCCAAGCCCTGCTGAATCATGCTAACTTCTGCTAAGTATTGCTAACTTCTGGTAAGTATTGTTAGGCTCCAGTCGCCCTTGCAAAGCCTGCTATGCTTCGCTGAGCAGAAGCCCTGCGAGCACTCGCGAAGCCCTGCCAAGCCCTGCTAGGCCATCGTAAGCGTTCGCCCTGATACGGCCTGCCAATCAGCGATTATCCCATGCCCAGCCTGGCCTCGCTACGCCAGGCTAGACTATGCCAAGCCCTGATAAGCTTTGATCAGTACTGCTGCGCTCTGCTCAGACCTGCCAGCCCCTGACGGGGCTCGCACTGCCCTGCTCGCCCCCCCCTAAACACAGTGACAGTTGGACCGTGCTAAACCCTGCTAGGCACTGCCAGGCATGCACGCCCCAGGCTCTCCCGTCCCAGGAACGCATCCCATGCCAGCCAGAGAGGAGGCAGAGAGAGAGGGAGAGAGCGAGAGAGAGAGAGAGAGACAGGATAAGGATAGTGATGAAGAGAAGGGTGGAAGCTCGTACAACCCCTCATGAATCCCGATGGACAAGTCGGGGCACCTTCTGGGGTGGAAGGCGCCGCGCCATGCTCGCGGCCACCACAGGGGAGTCGTTTCCATGCCGTTGCGGAGAGCAGAAGGCGCAGCGTTCTGCTAGCCGCGACCGGCCAGGTCTGTAGCGAGAGTCCTCGCATGCGGGACTGGTCGCCAGCAGGCCACGAGGCACCGCTGGGCCGCTTGCCCCATTGACCTTACCGGCCGGTTGCCTAAACCTGGCGGTCCTGTAATTGTTGCCATACGTCTTCCATTTCAACGTCCAAGTTACGAAAGTGTCAGAGGGCGCGAATATCGTCTTAGGACCCGGCGAGGTCATCCATGAACTCGCTGCAGAAGTCGTCGACGCCGTGTGGGTTGTACCGTCCCTTGCTTCGGCCCTTCCCATTCTTCCTGTCGCAGGCCCTGTTCCAGCCTTTCACAACGAGCGCTCTACAGGTGCCTTTGAGGCGATTCGTAGTCTCTGACCAGGGCTCGCTCCTACTCTCTTTCGCCCTCCGCAACGGGTACCATTGAATGTCGCGCTGGGGAACTTTGGAGAGGCGGTCGTGCGGGTCATCCCTATCTCTCCTCTGAGACGTGACCCCCCCATGAGGCGCATCTCCCAATTGCACCCGCCGTGCGACTGGTTGTCCCTGCGCAAGCAGCCCCACTGCGCGCTGCCTGCAGTGTTGCCTTCCCGCACAGAATCCGCGTGGGTATGGTAATTACCTGTGCTTCCACTGCAGCTCTCCGTCTGGGGACGCGGGTGCCATTCAGCCACCGGTCCCGCTGGTTCCTTGCTGTCCGTTGCTGGATGATGGCCATCAAGCCCCACACGGGTTCAGAGGGCCACGTTATTGTTGTCTGCTAGTTCTATGTGGCGATGTTATGTAATGTCGGACGACGATTGGTAAACGCTTGTGAAGCTTCACGCAGCAGCGCACTAGGCGATTACTGATAATATGGGTTTCAGACCTGCGCGTAGGCGTCGTCATTGAGCTAATTTCATCATCATCACCACCATCATCGTCGTTGACGTCATCATCATCATCATCATCATCATCATCATCGTCATCATCAGTATCATCATCATCATCATCATCATCATCATCATCATCATCATCATCATCATCATCATCATCATTTTCTTCTTCTTCTTCATCATCATCATCATCTTCAGCTTCATCTGCATATTCATCTTCATATTCGTCTTCATCTTCGTCATCTTCATCGTCATCATCATCATCATCATATGCATCTTCATCTTCATCTTCATCTTCATCTTCATCTTCGTCATCTTCATCGTCATCATCATCATCATCATCATCATCATCATCGTCATCATCTCCAAAGTCTCTCCGCGTGTCAGGAATCCGTGTTCTGAACCGTGTCTTTCGCGTTTGTTTTGTTCTCATCGGTCATCCTCTTTTCACTAGTCAGCTCCCGCCTTCTCCCGTGGGGTCCCTGAGCTGGGTTTCCCGATGCTCCCTGTCTCTAGAAAGTCTCGCAAGAGCCCTCGCGTCGACTTCCAGTCTATCAGGGTTTCGCTGTCTTACGCCTCATCTGCAGGGGTATGCAGATGTGGAGAGACGTGGAGGAGGCACGCGGGGGAGGGACCTGGGAGAGAACGCCTTTCACGGCCGCTTGCCTGGGGAACATTCGGCGGCGCGTTTCGAACCCGGGGGTCCCCCCCCCCCCAAACACTCGGCGCCGTCGATCAAAACCAGGGGGACTCACCTCCACCCCAAACCCCCCCCGTCCCCAACCCCCCCCCCCCTCCTAAGGGGAGGGGTTTCAAAACCCCCCCCCCCCCTCCCAAGGGGGGGGGGGTCCCCCTCCCCCCTCGGCGCCGGCGCCGGCGCTGGCGGCTGCCAGCAGCGCCCAGGGCGGGGACGCAGCGACGATGACCAGAGGCAGCCCAGGGGGGGGGGGGTTCAAACCCCCCCCCCCCCTCCTCGCGCAAGGGGGGGAGGGAGGGAGTTCAAACCCCCCCCCTCCCCCCCCCCTCGCGCCGGCGCCGGCGCTGGCGGCGGCCAGCAGCGTGGGCGCTGGCGCTGGCGACGGCGGGGACGCAGCGACCCTTACCACCACTACTACCATCACCACCACCATTACCACCACCACCGCCTCAACCCACCACCACCACCACCACCACCAACAGCACCACACAACCACCACCACCACCACCACCACAGCCACCACCACCACC